ACTCCCATCCTGTGCACCCCATCCAGTGCATCCTATTCCATCCCTCCTGTTCCATACCATACCATCTCTTCCCATCCCTGCCCATCCCATCCCAGCTCTTTCCATCCCATCCTTTCCCACCCCATCCACCCAACCCATCCCAGCCCATCCCATTGCATTGCATCCCATCCCACTCCATCCATCCAATCCCATCCCATACATCCTATCCTATCCCATCCTATCCATCCCAACCCATCCTATCCTACCCCATTCCATCCCATCCTATCTCATCCCTTCCCTTCCCTTCCCTTCCCTTCCCATCCCGTCCCGTCCCATCCCGTCCCGTCCCGTCCCGTCCCGTCCCATCCCATCCCATCCCATCCTATCCTATCCTATCCTATCCTATCTATCCCATCCCATACTATCCCGTCCCATCCCATCCCATCCATTGCCCTTCCCTTGCCATCCCATCCCGCGCATCCCGACGCGCTCCGCGTCCTCCCCGCAGATGCGGACGCCGCTGGTGAGGAGCAGCCCGGGCAGCCTGGCCGGGCGGCTGGAGGGGCTGCAGCGGGTGCAGGTGAGAGCCGGGGGTGCCGGGGCCACCGTCCCCACTGCTGTCCTGGGGGTGCCGTCCCCGCTGACGTCCCCGCTCCGTCCCCACAGCGCAACGGCACGGTGGCCGCGCGCCTGGCGGGCGAGGGGCGGATATGGAAAAGATGCTGTCCCAAGTGGATTCCCCGCTGCAAAGCAAACCCCCCACAACTTGCAACCCTCCCTTGCAGCATGCAACTTCCCCTGCAGCATGCACCCTTGCAGCATGCAACCCACCGCTGCAGCATGCAACCTCTCCTGTGGCATGCACCCTTGTAGCATGCAACTCACCGCTGCAGCAGGGAACCACCCTGCAGCATGCAACCACCTTGCAGCACGCAACCCCTCTGCAAAATGCAACCACCCTGCAGCATGCACCCCTGCAGCGTGCAACCCTCCCTTGCAACATGCAACCCCATGCAATATGCAACCCCTCTCCAGAGCATGCAGCCCCCTGCATTATCCGCCCCGCTGCAA